TGAGAGTCAAGATGAGACATCCGGTAAAGAATCAGATCATCAGGGAGGGGGGGGAGGGGGTGACAAGCATTTAGGGTTGGAGGAAAGTCGACAGCTAAAACTGTCTTTGGAAAAGCATGAGAGGCACACTTTCTGTAGACACTCGGTCTAAACATCTACAAACAACCAATTTCTTTCTCTCGCTACTGTCTACTCAAACCATATCCTGCTGGTGGACTTTTATTTAAGGATAAAAGCCGCATTTGTGAGTGTCAGGCACAGCTTATTGGAGTGAAGCAGAATGCTGTTAGTGCTGCTGAAGAGGGCATTTGAAGAATGTAAATGGGGATTTATGTATAAACATTGTTGAGGTTGCGTGTCAGTCTGTCAAGATTGCAAAGGTTTTCCCGTCACACCTGTTATAATCTGTTTTTATTCACAAGTAATGCCTCAGTAGTATGGTGAGATTGTTAGAATCCTCCCAGCTATCACAAGTGCTTTAGTTACTCAGGGCAGCATAGACATTAGTTGACGGCATTCCCTTTTCACAGAGCCACTCTGATGTTTCTGTTGCTGTTTTGAGGAGTTGGTGATTTTAGGAGAGCCAGAGAATGAGATGTATATATATTTTTTTCCTTTTTTTTTTTTTTCCCCCCAAAGATTTGTGTTTTGTGTATTAGTGTGTGAAAATGGCTTCTGATGCAACTTTATTTCAAAGCAATGATATTCGAGGTACTTGATGTCATCTCTTAAGTTACTGATGTCACAAACTTGGAAGGGATTCAAACACAGTGCCTAGTGGAGCTACTGCCAGAGTAGCCTTCCATCACATCCCAAAGTTTTACAGCCGAGGGACAAATGCACTTTGGTTGGTGCTACAGCTAGCAACAGGTTCTGACATTTCTACTTTTGCGTTTTTTGTTCCGTAGCACCCGTTGACGTACAATTTACCTGCAAAGTCCAGAAAATGTAATAATGAAGTTCAACCAAATAATTTTGAATAGAGTTCAGGTTCCAGTTTGTTTTAATGCATTACAGTTGGATATTTTAGATTTCTAAGTAGTTTGAGATTTTACCGTTTTTTTAATAGTTTCTAACACGGCACATTTTTTTTTCCCTCTTTTAAAATCAAATACAAGATCTGTTTTTCTTTTAATCAAGTTAAAAATATTTTGATAATTAATTATATGGGTGAAATGCAATTTTTATGTACAGATCCAATTTGTTCTGTGTTCATAAATAAAACCTATATTACCTCTTGAATGTGTTTTTCTTTAATTAGAACTAAAATTTCCTCCTTTTCAGTTGTCATTATGCACCATAAGTTTTGTTTATGTCCATTATAAATCCACGAGCAGGTAACTTTATGATGCATTTCCTCAGGAGCTGTACTTTATTTAGAGTGACTTGCAAAAATCTCACCACTTGATCATCTTCCCTTTTTTTTTTACACTACAAACAAATTTTAATGTGTCTTATGTGTTTTAATGGAATTAATTGAGCATATTTACAAAGTAAAAGCGAAAGGATATGTTGTTTTCAGAATAAATGTAAAGCAAATCCATTCCCACGGTGAAACATGTCGGTGGTAGTGTGTTGTGGGAACGCTTTTCTTCAGCAGGGATGGGGAAACTGGTCAGAGCTGCATGAAAAGTATTCATGATTCAAAGCAGCTTGGATTCAAATATGCATGTCAATTTTATTTTCGCGTCACAATTGTACACCACTCAGTTGGTCTATCACATAAAATTCTCAAAAATTACAATACTGTGATTATAATCTTAACAGAATGTAGGATTTTTTTGTAAAGCGCATAAATGTTTGGGGACTAACTAGAGAAAAATATCACAACTAAAGAACATGATGGAAGGATAACTCGGGTTTTTGTTGTGCATTTCCTCTTTTTCTAGAAGCTTAACAGTTTTATAATTCTACATTATAGGGAGAGTCATCGTGTTTGTCATTCAGATCTATATGAATTATAGAAATGCCTTTTTGTTATCTTTCCAGGAGGTCTGTTCATATTGAATCCTCCAGGTCTCAGAGTGGGCCTCCTCACGGTGTTTACTCACCCTGCAGTGCATGTTTAGCTTATAATCATTGCTTTCTGGGCTGCTAAATGTTTAGGAAATATCTCCTATTAAGAAGATTTCAGTTGCACATTCCATAAAACACAATCTAGTTTACATCTAGCTTACATTTTTTACAATTATACGTAGCTTTAAAAGGACTACGACCTCCAATAAAAATATTACAGATGAGAGGTTTAAGTGCTGCTCTAGTGAATGTTGTGGCTAAATGCAGGTCATAACGGCAGGTTGCATTTGCAGCTCTTATCACCAATAACTAGCCCTCTGTACAGGCCTGATTAGTCTGGCTTGCACTCTGGCTTATTTACTGTCTGAATACCTTACCAGTAGTTTCATTTGCGTTTCAGTTTTAATTGCTTTACAAATTTAAGAAATGTTTAAGTTAAACAGGTTCCTGCTTTATTTATTTTTATTTTTTTTGTGACAGTATTGCAACACAATGCAATGTACTACTTTGATTAGAAACACCTTTAATTGTTACAAGTTTAGAAAATAAGCTTATTAAAGTACTGTAATAAAACAAAAACCTGGTTCAGAATAAATAATTTCTTTACACAGTGATTGCTTTGAATGAAAATTTTTTAAAAAAATTGTTTTTCTAGGTTGCTTTTTGATATGAATAAAAAACCAGATTACTGTTTTTACTGTAGTCGGATACATTTATGTCATCAGTTCTTTTTGAAAAATGAATCCAAGGTACCCATACTTCCTCCTTGGGATCTCTGTCTTTTTGGAGCAGGGCCTGACGGGCCTCTTGTTTTTGTTTTGCCCCGGGTTGATTGCGTTGTGCCTCCTGCTCTAAGAGGAACCTGAGAAGCACTGGAAGAAGAAGAGGTGGTGGAACTGGAAGTGTTGACTGCTGAATTAATAGATGAAGACAGGGAAGTCTGGAGGTCCAGTGCAAAGTGAAAGTCGTTGTGTTCAGGCAATTCCCAGACCAGCACTTCTTTACCGCAGCGCTCACAGGTTATCAGGTCTTCCACAAGCACGCTTGGAGGTTGGCGGTCTTCTGGTTCTGTCTCTGGTTTCGTCCTTACATCTTTAAATCGTGGCTGATCGGGTTCGTGCTCGGCAACGGCGTCAGGATCTTCACAGTGATCTCCATCTGTGATTTCAGGTTCAGATTCAGACGTGGGGATCGGTAGGGCTGAAGGCCCAAAGCTTCCTTCAAGGCTTTTCTTTTGAAAGAAAGAGGAGATGCCAGAGCGGGGGCTTTCTGAGATGATTTTGGTGCTAGAACGCCTATCAGTGGAAAATTTTTCATCTAAGATGACAGATGAAGAGACTTCTCTTGAGTTTCCACACTCATCTTCCTCCTTCTTGGCTTGTTTTTGTTTCCCAGACGCTTTCTGAAAGAAGGACTGTATAGTTCCAGGTTGGTTGCCTGGAGACACATTTTTTAGGTCTGACTGTGTATTAGAGGGGGTCTGAGTCGCAGAGAAGGAACTCTGAGTCGAAGTGGGATCACTGGACAGAAAGCCAGCGATCCCCCCTGTGGTCGGCGCATCGCTGAATTTGCTGGCTGAGAGGTGCAGCAGGGTCAGAGGCGGAGTCCTGGAGACATGGAAGACAGAAGGTCTAAATCACAGAGCATTTACTCAAAGTGGCACTATAAATACCTTGCAGCACCGCTGCTCTTTAATTACCATGCGGCTTGTTGGTTTCCTGCTGTGTTGAGACTCTTGATAATGGCAAAGCTGTCACTGGATATTTTAGTCGCCTCGTAGCGCACCAACGCGCAGCATCGAGAGAAACTGCTCTGCCTCTTGTCACCAAGCTGACGCACTCCGACCGTCAACAACTTTGCCACTCGACCGTTCTGTATGTCGGTGAGAAAACACTGATGTGAAATGAGCAGGCGGCTATGGAGTAGAAATGGGTAAAACATCACAATTTCAATGCAAAACAAAACATAAACGATAGCGGGGATTTTTTTCTCACCGCTTCTCTGTCTTTGGTCAACCTCTCCTCCAGCTCAAGGGCCAGTTGATGAAGCCAGTACTGCACCTGCACAGAGGTTTGGATTTAGCATGAACATACATTGAGAAAGCATAAACAAATAAAGACCTGCAGAGAAAAACATTTCAGATAATAAATAGAAATTGGATGTAGAAATAGCTCAAGTATGCTTCTGCAACTGGTGGTCTGTACCTGCTGTTTTGTGGCCAGTGATGTTTTCCCAGGGAAGTTCTTACTGCAGCCAATGGATTTGGGAAGCTGCCTGGGTTTCACAGCTTCAAACTCAATCCCCCGACACAAGTCATACAGCCACTGGCTGCAGAGCAGAAATATTATTACATTATAACAGCATGACGCAGCAAAGGAAATCAAGCTACGTCAAAGAATTACATGTGCACTTCTAGTGCAAAATTAAGATTAACTGAATTCCTGTATTATTGTACATAAAAAGGATTGTAAACTAGGGACAATATTTAAAAAAAATATTGATTCTGTAAGCTGTTTTTTGTGAACAGTCCTCACCCTGTCTTTTCTCCAAAGTGCTGCCCCAGCTGTGCCAGAGAGAACCGCGTGAGATCTCCCATGTTCTCAACCCCCAGAGTTTCTGTTATCGACGCACCCATCTTGCCCCCGAGGTTACGACTGCGTGGAACAATAAGAGCGAACGGTTCTACTAGTCATCTGTTGCACTTCTGCATCGGAAGGTCAGTGAAATTTTTGCGGGACAGTGACAATTAAACTCACATCTTGCCGACTGGCAGAGTGCTAAACAGCTCAGTCACAGAGTCCAGAGGGAGGATAGTTTGTCTGTTAGGTTTGTTCAGACCGCAGGCCAGCTTAGCCAGCACCTTCAACAGTAGAGAGTTACATATGAGGTCAGCAACAACAGTCGCCGGTCTCACATCAGAATTATGTGAAGTTTTATCCCACCTTGTTGTGAGATATCCCTGCTGAGCAGCGGAAGCCTGTGTGCTTCTCTACGGCTGCTCTCATTTCTTCAACAATGAGCGCACCGACAGTTAGCTGCAGCTCTGCAGAGTTCTGCTCTCCCTCGGTTGGGACAGATAAGGACGCCAACCACTGCTGGACTCCTCTGGATCTTCTCTGTTCTAAGAATAAAATAAAATAAATTAAAAAAAAAGTTAACAGACATAACATTTGTTGGGGTTTTAGGAATTTAAGACTTGCCGCTTTCAGTATTAGCCTCCTAATGCTGACTTGTTACAGTATAAAGACTGAATAAGTCTACCTTTATCCAAAGCTGAATCGTCAACTTGGCTGGACTCGTCATGCGCAAATGGATAGCCTTGAATGTGAGTAGTCCTGAGAAGCCGTTGGTCGATCTGTTGATCGGCTATGTCTCTGCACCGCTGCTGGACGGCTGCCGTCAGGTCCATGTAGGCCTCATCGATGCTGGCCCTCTCAATCACAGCAAAACGAGACATCACCTCAATCACTTCCACACTCGCCTCTCTGTAACTACAAACAGAGGTCAAGCAGCACAAGCACCACAATGTGGACGGTTTGCCGAGTAAACTGACAGCACTTACTGAGTTAGATCTGCCTTCCCATGAGACTCTCGCACTCTGGCCACCTGGAGATCTGGGCACAGCTTTTTTGCATCGTCCACCCACATGTTCCTGGTGACACCGTGGGCCCTCGCCTCATAACTCACCGCTATGATACTAACAGATAATGACACGTCAATCAGAACCACGTTTAGCGCATGATCCCCTTCAATAGTAGAGAGTTAAATATGAGAGATTTAAAATTAAGTGATTTATTTGTAGGAAAGTTTCCAACACAGAGACATGTTGAAACTAATGTCACAGAAGTTCATCCACATCATTGTCTTTTGATGGATCAAAGGTCTAAACTATAAATGAGTGGATGACCAGATTAAATGAAGGAAGTTCTTCCTAATCTAATCCAAACACAACCATTTATGCCATAGTGGGTAAGAAGGATTCTACAGTCTCCACACTGGAGTCCATTATTGGAACATAATGAAGCTGAGGTGGCTGTTGCAGTACCTAAAATGTACAGTATGTGACGCTACATTTATATTTAGTGTAGTTTATCTAATACAATGTAGAGTAATTTACTTTGATGCGGTAACCTGTTGGGCATTTACGCCTCTGTTCTCTCAGTAAATAATGACAGCCCCAGTCAGCTAACAGATGTTATGATGACTTCCGTTTTGGATAAGCATTAATTGCGTTGATCACCTCGACTGTTTCTCTGTGTCAGAAACTCACCCGCCTCCTTTCCACGTCTTGTACTGAGCCACCACGCAAGGGGTGTTTTTCAGAGCTGGATTCAGCCGTTGCTCCACCTGGACGTAAAAACAGTCCATGTCGACTAACGCCACCACTCTCTCTTTCCCGTACTCCATGCAGAGCCGGGAGAGTTCGCCACCGGAAAACAAAGACAGGAGTCTGCTGACTGAGGAGGGCAGATCACGGATCTACGAGGAGCTTCATGTGAACTGAAACTCAACAAGGCGCCCAAATAAAAGGTGTTGTCGCTTTGTATTTCGCGCAGAAAATTGCAGCTACATGATAACGTCATCAAGAGGCGACAGAGACGTCATGTCGACCAACTGGACTACAAATACGGTAAATAAAGAAAAACGGAATTGAATAAATAAATAAACTGTTAGTTCTCTCAGTGTACTATATGGCTTCCTCCCACTGTCATAAAAAACAATAAAAAAAGAACAACAACAACATGACAGATAAATTATTTCCTCCAAATTGCCCTTAGTTAAGGGTGTGGTGCAAGGTTGCTTGTCTGTTGGCCTCTAAAACAAGGAACAAGTATGCAGAGGATGGATTATCTCGAATCGTCTATTCCCGAAATAAAGTTGTTTTTTCTTCCAAACAATGTAGGGACATTTTAATTGCCAGAACTACTCTTTGCTTTACCAGTTTCAAATGCAAGAATTTTGCCACATGGAACTCGTGACTTAACTTCACTCTGTAGAACAACTTTTATAGTTCATAATATTACATGTTAGCAGGATGTCTACACTAGTTTTTGTTTAGTTGGTCTACACTGCCACCTGCTGACTACAATATGCAATTTTATTAACGCCTGACGTGGAAGCTGCAGGTTTAATCTTTGGGTAAAACAAAATAAGGTAATTCTAAAATAAACGTCTAGCTGTGAGAAGTAATCTGTTTAGCATTTAATGGGGGCATGTTAAGCATGTTTGCATGGCATAAACTTTTACATTTTTAGAACTTATTAGGATTTTATTAAACAAAGCTCAATTTGAACCAACCATGTCTGCACACTTCACATGAGTTTTAAAATACGATGTTATGTCTCTGTCAGGAAAAGCTTTCTTTAAATCTCTTCTGACACCACAAATAAAATCCCCACTTTGTTGTAATGTTCTGTTACAAAATAAGCTTTTTGTGCTCAAAAACAGAGGGAAAAAATGTGAAAAAACAAATCCAAGTTAAAGATTATTAACGATTGACAAGCTGAACAAGAGTATAAACTAAGGATAGATTAAATAACCATATAAAAGATGTGGTAATTAACATGCAAATGAATTGTTGATAAAAAAAAAAACCCCATAAAAATAAGGAAGTAGGAAGTCAGTGTTACTGAGCTAATTGATGTTGCTGCTGTTTTCACATCGATATGGCTGTTTCTCTGAGTTTTCTTCTTATTCTAACTCTGATAACAGGTCAGTGCCTCCACATTACACTTTGCTTATTGTATGCAGACATTTTATCATCTTTGTGATCCAAAGCTCTGAATTTATTCAGTTTTCATTCAGAATAAATTTGTACACTACTACTTTTTATATTTTAAAGATGTCTATAAATTGACATATCAGTTAACTATTTTCACAGATCACTGTGTCTCCTTCACAGAAACATGTTCCTGTAGATCTTTTAATAGTCTTTTTATCTGCAGAGTTTCAAAGGATAAACACAATCAGTAAAGGAGCATTGCGGATTGCAGCTTTAGTCTCAATCCACTATCATTTGCCTTAAGAAACTAGGTGTCTTTCCATATGTTTCAAAAATATGACCAATATGAAATGCGACACATGCTATTTCACAGTATCTTTTTCTCCCCAGGAAGTGAAAGTGTGAAGACAATCAATAAGGTCTCAGTGAAGGCAGGAGCTTCAGTCTCTATTCTTTGTTCTTATGACAGAAAATACAAAAATCATGTGAAATATCTATGTAAAGGATATGTTTGGAGTAGCTGCACATATGAAATTAGAACAGACTCACGACGGGAAGCAGGAAAGTATTCAATCTCTGAGGACAAAAGTCAAAGAATTTTCACTGTTACCATAAAACAGTTAACAGCTGACGACACTTATTACTGGTGTGCTGTGGAGAACAATAATGAAGCTGATATCGGGCAGCGCTTTCTGCTGTCAGTCACCACAGGTAAGCTGTGTTTCTGAATGCACATTTCAAACATTTGTAAACAAGAATAAAATAATGACATGAAAGAAAACCAAAAGGCTCATAATTATAATTTTTATTCTATTATATTATTAGTCAAAGCAAAAAATAACTGTTTAAAATTTAAAGGATGTCAGATAATGTGTTTATTACTATTTGTTTCCCATCAAGGTACACCCATCCTCTCAGTGGCAGATCAGAATGTGATTGGATATATTGGAGACAAAATAACCATACACTGTAGCTACAGAAACTCTGGAGGAGTAGGGTGGTGTAAGCTGGGCAGCACATGTGTGACTGTGTCTGGAAATATAGATGGAACAGCAGCAACCGTCAACACAGCCGTCAGCAATGTAATCAGTGTAACTATGAGTGGACTGAAGCCAGAGAGCAGTGGTTGGTATTACTGTGTCAAAGGAGATTTTCAGATGCCAGTTCACCTGACTGTGACTGTCAAACCCTCTGGTAAGTGATTTATAGATTCTCCATGTACAGATGAGGAAATACTTGTTTGATCCTCTGCTGAACTTCTAAGTTTGGCAAAGTCACCAAACATTGGTCCAAATAGCCTCTAATTTTTGAACTAAAAACAAAACCCAAGTTCCAGGAAACAAAATCACTTTTTTTTTTCTTGCATGACTAAAATCTAATAAGTCCATTGCTACGCTTCTTGAAGCTGGTCCCCAGGTTTGCACATGTCACAAAAGGGATTTTGGTTCCCTTGTTAGAGAAACTCTCCAATTCCTTTAGGTTTCTTAGTCTTCTTTTGGTAACTCACATGATGAGCAACCTTCACATATATTCTGCAGATCTGAGTTTGACGTTGGTACGACATGACCATTGGCCACTTTTCCCGTGCATTTTGTGTCATTACAATATCGGAGGACCTCTTGTCATTGTCCCACTCACCGTCCTTTCCTGACGGTCACTCATCAAAAGAAAAGCATCTTTGGGCTATTCTCATCCTCTGCTGAGGGTGTAGCTCACAAATTTAAATGTGATGGCGTGGTGAGTTATCTCTGTAACTCACACAAATACTATGTGATTTTAAAAAATTACTACTCCATGAAACAATTATCTCCAAAATACCTAATAAGGAAGTTGATGTAAAATATCTTGACTGGACACTCCACGTTTCTGTAGTTTAGAACTATTCTAAAGCAGAAAAAAAGTGTTTCAGTCACCAGTTGCAGTTCGGGTGTTTCCCAAGGCAGTGGCTAAAGATGATTGCAGTACATCGTTTACCCAACAAACTTTAAAAGGAAGTAAGGTGAAGCAATGCAAGTTGAGAAAATCTAAAGAGAGGGTTTCACTTTTCAAGAAGCATTGATGAAGCAAAAAGACAAGCAAAAAAAGATGGCTAAATTTATCGTTTTAGATGACCAAATTCTTACTGAGGGCCAGCGTATAGGTTTACGTCGCCTTCTAGCATGACTGGAGCCAAAGTACACCCTCTTTTCATGACCTTATATAGCTGACACATCTGTACCTGAGCAGGACAAAAAGGTTCAACATCACCTCTATATCATCTATTACTGTTTCTGCCTTTGCCGAACATAAAATGATCTTTTCTGACCTCTTTTCTCACTACTGTGCTGTAGAGATAGTGGTGTCAAATATTATTTTCCAAGTAGTATGTTGTGTCCTAATCTGTTCTGGAAAATAAAATGTATTAAAATGCATCTCTTTATCAGCAGTGTTTAATCTTAACCGCTGATCAATACCGACGAGGACAAAAACACTGTGATCGGCACATCTGTAAAAATTGCATATTTAAATTGTTTGAAGGGTAAACAGAGCTAGGAATGGATTACTGTATAACTCAACCAATTAAATATTTGTTTTTAAGTTATAGGTTTACAAGCAACAACAGAAACGATTGAGGTCACAGGAACCCCTGCTGCTACAAGACCCACTGATCCAGGACTTGGAGAAATCCCAAATCAGCGGTATTCTGCAATATTTGTTAATAAGTAAAAGCTAAACGCTTTCAGTATGCTGCCATTTTCTATACTTTATATCATAGATGCATACCATAACTGTGGAAAAAGTATCATTTTGTAAAGTTGAATCTGCACCTCCTGTTTAAAATATGTGTTTTAGATACTGATGGGTAATTTCCTCGAACCTTCATTAAAAATACACAGACAACATATATGAATTTTAAGGAGAAGTCTCAGCAAACTGCTCCTCCGAGCCATTCACTGAGCGTTCTGAAGACCTTTGGTTACAGCTTGTCTTTTATTATCAAGCAAAAAGAAGGAGGATAGACAGCAGAGACAATATATTACTGCACACAGGCAGTTTCTAAGGTAGAGAGTATTCCGGTTGATAAGGAGGCACCTGTGGAAAAATAATTCAAGGTCTGGGAAACACACAGATAACTGAAGACGAACAGGCAGGTGGGGCCTCCAGGTCAGTTTATACACACATAAGGAAGAGAACACTTTAAACTGAAAATCACAATAACCTCCTGACTACCAGGAAAAAAAATATTGTCCAATCACCATTTTTTTTAAATCCCACAGTCTTCGTAAGGTAATAAAAGGTTTTATGCACTTACTTTGTCTCGTCCCATAGAATGTGTTATTACTGATGAACACAATTTTTATGTATTAGAAAAAGATACGAACAAAAGTCCCACCCCTTCATATGTGGTATCATTGAAAAGCCCTAAATGTCCTCTCCAGATACCAAAAGGAATTAATTCAGTAGAATGCAGGGGGTGGGAGATATTCAAGTTTAGAAATGTCCTCTACAGAGGACAAAAATGAACTACTGGTAGTCAGGAGGATAATACTGAATGTTAATTAACTATTGATTAACATTAGACTGAATATGAACTAAAGTAATAACAAAATGATAATACCAAAAAATCTCTAACAGATACGTTGACCCAAAAGTCCACATCATCACTTTGGGTATGCTGAGCTTGGTTGTTCTGGTGGCCTTGCTCATGTGGTTTATACAAAGATGCAGTAAGTCTTGTTCTCTTTTTTCACTTCGCTGTGACGGTTTGGCACCGTGTTGTGTTTCAGTTATTCGTTGCTTTATGCAGTATTATTATTGAATGTTTTCACAGTAAATAAGTTACCACACTTTTTTTCTCATACTTAGAGAACATCAAAGAGGATTCAACTGACCCCAGATCAGTAAGTGACACTAATATAACCTTTTAGATTAGGAAAAGCTATTTCTCTGATTATTTATTAAATGTTTATTACATTTTAAATTGCAGCCTCAAATTGTTTGTCTTCATAATTTCTGTTACATTCCGTTAATACCTCTGTTGCTTGTTTTTTTTGTTGTTTTTTTTTTCTAGAATGAATGGGAAATAGTTTACACTGCTGTTAGTTTCAAAACAAAAAGCACACCACAGGTAAGCCTGTCATAACAAAATTATATATTTGCTCTCGCCCATGTTTTAATATGACCTGTGAGAATGCAACTGAACAAAACGGTAGTGTTTAATTTAATGTTCAATGTTGTTGTTTTTTTCCCCGACATGGATTGGTCGCTGTGATGTGACCCTTGGCTGTTTCTAAGAAACAAAACATGAAAAACGTCAATTACATCATATTGTCACATTATTTCACACAAACTGGGTGTCAGTCGTAACTTACCGTATGCGCAAACTGTGAGATACTCTGGAAAACTAAATATAATGATAAAAAACAAAAACACTTCTTACATTTGGGGAACTCAAATCTATGTTCTCTTAACAGAATGAAGCAAACGAGGAAGATGTCACATTCAGCACAGTAGTTTACCATAACCAAAATATTTAGCATGTTCTGCTTTGTTCTCTTTACTTCTTGTTATATGAAGAATTTGTGAACTTTTATCTTTGTGCATGGGGAGATTTTCTGAATGTAAATTAATTTTTTACTCGTGTATCTTTTGTCAATGTTTCTGTCATCAAACATGCTGCCATAGACTTGCCTGAAACCTAGATAATCACAGGGAAATTATGTAAAATATGTGCATGATGTTTTTGTTGTTGCTGCGTTTCTATTCAAATATAACTTTGTTGTACTGTTTGTACAAAGTTCAATGAATTACATAAATTGTGATGGTGGAATTATTTAGAATTAATTTGGAATCAAATTATTAGGCTTTACAAAGCCTAATAAGTAAACCTAATGGGAAAAGTTTAAACATTCAGTAGAAATATTTTTCAGGAGTTGTTGTTGTTTTAGATTTTTTTTTCTCTTTACAGTTGGAAGCATGTTTAATGCCTCATCATTTTTTTGGACTTATGAACAGAAGAACATACAATTCCTTGGGTTGTGTTAATTTAATCTTTGCAAAAAAAAAATAAAAAGACTGATTAATGCATAACTGTATCATGTTCTTCTGAAGACTTAAAATGACTGTTTTGGAGCTGTGGAACTTGGTGCAGGGATAATTGGAAGCACCACAGACTTTATTTTCCAGTTCTCAGTTTTTTCTTTATTATTATTTATCATCATATATTACAATGCAAGGTATCATGGCAACACCTCAGTTAGAAAGATAAACGTTATGTTGCATAGCATCCCACCACTCTTGGGTAATTTTGTTAGGTCAGCCCCTGGAAATGTCTTTCACTGTTCTGTGTTTTATTCGTTGGTGGATCATGATTCTCAATGTGGTTTGCTGGAGTCCCAAAGCTGCAGAAATAGTTTTGTAACCCTTTCCAGACTGATAAAAATCAATGGCTTTGTTTCCTGTTTTCAAATTTATTTAGATCAGCAAAATGTTGCTCAGTGTTGCTCGTTTAGCTTGTCCTCAAACAGTTGCTCGTTATTGTGTTATTTCAGAAGTCTGGTAGAAATAAGATCAGGGTGTTCTTAGTGAAATTTAATTCATCTTTATGAAAAATGTGTTTGATCACAGTTATTAATTATGCCACACGGGGGAATGATTTTTTTCACAAAGCACCACGTTGGATTGGTTAGCTTTTTTTCTTTCAATAACTTACTTGAAATTTGAAAACTGTATTTTGCCTTTACCCTGACTATATTTGTCTGATATTTAAATGTGTTTCATTACAAACATGAGACAAAAAAAAATAAGCAGAAGAAATCCAAATACTTTCAACAGCACCAGATGACCCAGAAATTGTATAAAATGTATACTTTCTACTGTCTGTTATGTCTCTATCTTGTGTGTCTTTGTGTGTTGTATTGAGGAAAATATGGCAATAAAACCAACAGACCTGTGTGAATATGTGATCCATCAGCCTGTAAGGAAAAACACCAGCACTACAAATGATCACCTCTGCACAACATAAATTCTCTATCAGTGTCGTCATATTTTTCAAATTGGGATTAAAAACAACAACAAAAAAAAGCATAACAACCATTTGAGCTCTTGTTGTTTGTATACAATATTTAATTGATCTTTTCATTTACCTCTGACATTTAGAAAGCATTTATACAGACAGTGTTCACCGGATATTTTCTCTGTTTCTGGTCCTTCTATGATGCTTGTGTGAGAAAATCGCAACAGATTAACATTTTCTAGTCAGACCAAACCCTTTGAAAACAAGAAAAAACAAACACCCATGGCAAATAAGTCACATTTGTTGCCAATTATGGTGCTGAATTTTAGCTACAGTGACTCGTCTTTATTTCATCTGAATACCCTCGTACATTTAGGTGCTACAAAGTGGCTGGATGATATTCTATTTGTGCAAACAAGGAAATGAACAGGTGCATCTAGTAAAGTGACCAGAGAGTGCACATGTTTTAATGTGCAACAACAGACAGACACTTTTTAAATATATCAATCATCAGCCTAACACATGTATTTATGTAATTAAACATTGGCTTCTGCTTTGCAAAACTGCAGGTTTACAGGCAAACCGAATCAAACGTGTAGTTTTGCATTTTCACACATTGTCTTTACTTTTTTCCTTCTTCAGACGGAAATCTACATTTACATTTTTAGAACCCATTAGGATATTAGTCAGTAGATCTAAATTTGAACCGCCCATGTCTCAACACTTCACACGAGTTTAAAGCGCAATATCAGATTTGTAACAGGAAAAGGCTTAAATAAAACTCTTTTGACACCTCAACTAAAATTCCAACTCTGTTGTAATTTTCTGTGCTTAAAAACGGAGGAAAAGAAAATGTTAAAAAACAGACACATTGTGTCACGTTGACAAACTAAACGAACATAAAATAGGGGTAGCTTAAATATCCACATTGAAGATGAGGTGGTTAAAATGTCATGTTTAAAATGACATTTTAAACATCAAAACAGGGAAGTAGTGAGTCAGTGTTACTGAACCAGTTGCTGCAGCTGTTCGCACATCGATATGGCTGTTTCTCTGAGCTTTCTTCTTATTCTACCTCTGATAACAGGTCAGTGGCTTCACATTACACTTTGTTTATAATTTGCAGACATTTTATTATCTTTGTAACCCAAAGCTGGCCGTATTGATATCAGTTTTCCTTTTTGTGTTTTGGAGATATCTATGAATTCACATGTCAGGTGACAACTGCCCACAGATGACTATGTCTCCTTCACTGGAGCATGTTCCTGCTGATCTTGAAATTGTTTAATTTATAAACGCATAAACAGAAAATCATCAGTGAAAAGTGCAGCTTCAGTCTCAATGCTCTACCAAAATATTTTTGCCTTCAGCAACTAGTTTTTTTTTTTTTTTCATGTTTCATGAATATGAGTGATATAACATGCTAAACATATTTCACAGTATCTTTTTCTCCCCAGGAAGTGAAAGTGTGAAGACAATCAGTAAGGTCTCAGTGAAGGCAGGAGCTTCAGTCTCTATCCCCTGTTCGTATGACGGAAAATACAAAAATCATGTGAAATATCTATGTAAAGGATATGTTTGGAGTAGCTGCACATATGAAATTAGAACAGACTCACAACGGGAAACAGGAAAGTATTCAATCTCTGATGACAAAAGTCAAAATATCCTCAATATGACTTTAAAACATTTAACAGCTGATGACACTTATTACTGGTGTATTGTGGAGATCAATAATGGAGGTGATATCGGGGAGCGCTTTCTGCTGTCAGTCACCACAGGTAAGCTGTGTTTCTGAACGCACATTTCAAACATGTGTAAACAAGAATAAAATAATGACATGAAAGAAAACCAAAAGGCTCATAATTATAATTTTTATTCTATTATATTATTAGTCAAAGCAAAAAATAACTGTTTAAAATTTAAAGGATGTCAGATAATGTGTTTATTACTATTTGTTTCCCATCAAGGTACACCCATCCTCTCAGTGGCAGATCAGAATGTGATTGGATATATTGGAGAGAAAATAACCATAAACTGTAGCTACAGAGACTCTGGAGGAGTAAGTTGGTGCAAGCTGGGCAGCACATGTGTGACTGTGTCTGGAAATATAGATGCAGCAACCATCAACACGGCCGTCAGCAATGTAATCAGTGTAACTATGAGTGGACTGCAGTCAGAGAGCAGTGGTTGGTATTACTGTGTCAAAGGAGATTTTCAGATGCCAGTTCACCTGACTGTGACTGTCAAACCCACTGGTAAGTGATATACAGACTGTAATTAAATAGAGATGGGTGAATATATCAGCTAAATATTTGTGTCTGCTAATGTTCAGCTCCCTATGTTCTCATGTTTAATCATACCAACAACTGACGGCAGTCGTTAATCTTTTCCTTGTGTGTCCTGGTTATGTCGCACTAACGTAGCTCTAAAAATGACATAATTAATGTATATAAAGGATACTATTTCAACAACTCTAACGGCTGTTCCTTCAGCAGTTTGTTGATGTCAATTTAAATATTTTTTTATCACATATTTTATTTATTGGAGAAGTCATAGGTGTTGCTTTCTTGATATATTCACACATAAATATGCACTTTTTCAGTGACTGACAGTAAACAGCTCACATATTCAATAGGCGTTAATTATTGTTGATAAAAGATGATTCATTGTTTCGCTAACATGAAAAAATAGCATCTAAATTCACTATTTGCTGTTGATAATATAATCATTCTTATTATTTTGCATTGATGATGTGGCAGAATTTCACAGTCAATGCATTACTACTTATATAGATTGGAGTAACATCCCAACAGAGACCAGGGTTAATAATTTTCATGTTACTGATATGAAATATTCATGACATGATATTCTCATTTGTACTCTAGTTGCAACAACTACAACAGTAGTTACAACAACTACTGTAGCTCCAACAACTACTGTCACAGAAGCAAGAGAAAATGCAACAACAGTTCAGAAAGAAAACAGGTTAGCACACTTCAATGCTGCACTTTTGAGCACAGTGATTATTAGTTGCTTGCTCAAAAACCGTCCTTTCAACATCATCTTAGTTTAAGATAGTATCATTATCTCCTGATCTGGAATTCGAATAACAATGTGTGTTTCAGTTCTGTTACTCCTCTGATGATCCTCGCCATCCCTCTGAGTGTGCTGATCTTCATTGTCATTGTTGCCTTATCAATCCTGTTTGTGCTCAGAGGAACCAGTAAGTCTGACCGGACATCTGCCGCCATTTGGTTTACAATAAATGAATTCAGATCGTTTAAGTGTGTAAAAAAGGAATAATTAACCGCAATTAAATGTTTCACAGAACGTGTCAAAAATAAGGATTCAACAGCCTCAAAAGTAAGTCGTATGTAAAATTAAATGACTTGGATAAGGAGGTGTTAATGATTAATTATCTCTATTTTTTATCAAAGGCATTGATTTCTGTGGATAATTTGTCATTAACAGAAATGCTTTACTGTCTGCCTACATTAAAAACTTATGCACCTTTTGAGGTCTATAAAGTAAAGCTGATCTTGTCTAATGATATTTTAATTTGTTGATTTACAGAATGAAGGGGATTTAACATACGCAGAAGTCTCTTTCAAGAAAAACAAGGCAGCTCAGGTAAGCTGGTACTAATAAGTATTTGAATCTTTACAGTTTGTTGTAATAACATTTTCAATACGGAAATAAACTAAAACTGCGTTATTTCTGTTTGAAACACAGGCTGCAAGTGATGCCGATGTGACCTACAGTTCTGTTGTTCCTGTCAAGAAACAGAGTGCGAGAAGGGTAATTATTCAGAGACGACGTGTAAACGCATCACTTTTTTAAAAAAACCTGATCAGCTACATGATTCTTTGCTATTGTTTGTCATAGTTTATATGTGTACAACGCCAAATACTGTTAAACTCTCATTTGTATATCCACCTGAAAAACACGACAGAGTATGCAAAGTTTAAAAAAAAGACCAATATAACTTTTAACATAAAAAAATGTCTTGTTTCTATTTTTGAGGTCCAACTGGTTTATGCTTCATGTATGTTTGAAAATAAGTCTCACATTTTAGGATTTCCCTCTGACCATTATTTTTCATTTACAGAGTGAAGGAAAAGATGAGGATGTTACATACAGCACAATCATTCGTCACAAGCAAAACGTTTAAATCTATCAGAAATGCTTTCCTTTTTCCTGTGACTAAGTGCTAACCGATATTGTCTGCCACCACAAGTGTGAAACACTGACTCAGTGTCTTAGAAAAGCCCCTGACCATGTGTTTTATTTTATTTTATTTTATTTATTTTTACATTGAGTATACACGTTTATATGCTTATGCTCAGGTGGTGAAAAACTAGCCACTTTCTCAGCAAGTGTAGCTTTTTATCGTATGTGACACCTTTTGTTGCTTCCAAGTATGATCTTGTTGAGGACAGAAGCAACACCTCAAAAAATGGAAAAAATATGAGGATATTTTCAATATTTGAATTGACTTTTACATAAGAAGTTAAATGTGTAAATGCCATTGTTGTTATCTATAATCGTTTAGTAGGATGATTTGCATGAGGTGTTGCTAAGTTATGATCTATGTAAATCTGGAATAATCAAGGCTGAATCCCTAATCTTAACAAATAAAACTGTAGATTTGACCATGATGAGGTGTATTGTTGTTGCAACCTTTCCCCATGCCTAACTGAACTAAAAAGCTACCTTAATGTTTTTTTTTTTTTTCTGTTATTTTTGGACCACATTTGATCATTTCTTCCTTAAAATGCCAAGTTTATTTAAAAAAAAATAGTTGGGTCATCTATGAAATTATCACAACATTCAAATCATGTAGCTCAAACATTGTTTAGTTCTTAATCTGTCCGATAAGTTTGATAATGATTTTTTTTTTTTTTTTTGTAACAGAATAAAGTTAATGTGGAGAATTTGTGCGTGTTCTGTTATGTGTTACGATTAGGTTACAGAGGACAGGACTTTCTCAGGGTAGCATTCATGCAAGACCCACTGCTGGACTGAATTACAAAATGCTGTTTTTATACAAGGTGCAATTTTGTATGTCTCCCTGGGAAACTTTTGAGACAACCCTTAATCATGTTAAAAGAGGAACTCTACAAATAATAACATAACACACTGTGACAACACCCTCATCACTGATCAAATGAAACAAGCAATAAAAATAAAAAAATAAAAAATGTTTCTGCAATCCACTGACTGATCATGTACGGTTTGTACTTGGGACGGAACCCCATATGATGTCATTTATAACAATTCAGAAAATTTAAGGCAGCTAGGTATTGACCAGACACACCCTCCCACCCTGTAACACCAACACTAACTTGTCTGGTGTCAACAGTGGCAGTGACAATCATTTCTGCTCAAAGTGAATTGACGTTCATCAGAGAACAGAGATCAGGCCCACTGGTCCCTAGTCCAACATAAATACTCCCTGGTCTATGCAAGACAATGATGCCTGTGCCTGAACAGTTGGACATGTGTATTTAAAAGCCTAGAGAAAGTCACATTAAGTTTACTTGTAAAGCGTTAGCTATAGTTCATTTTATGGCTATCCTGAAATTTCACCTGAAAGCCAAATATTGCTAACTTTTTGTTACCACTGACATAATAAGATGAGAATATGTAAAATTTAGTGAAGTTGCAAAACATTCACTTAACTTGTCACTAGCAGGAATCACTTTTTGACATATGACAACAATAAGAACAACACTGCTTTAAATGCGTCATTTTTGCATGCTGTTCTTTTAGTGTCAAAGTGTTTCTGAGCAGGTGTTAGTATAAAGAAGGAAACAATGAGAAGTGAAATGAGGATGCAATGCATACAAATGTAAATAAAGTTATATCCCAACACCAAAGCTATTTTGGATCAAGCTATTAATATTTTTTTTAAAGTTAGAGCAGAGAACCAGTAAACTCTGGGACACTTGGTTCCCCTTCACAGAAACAGCATATTTATAGATATGTCCCTATTGTTCCTCTTTTAACAATGAGGCAATTAATTGGAACAAAGTCCAAAAAGAATTTTATCCACCTCAGCATATTGGATAATTTTCAGATACAGTTTTACTTAGCTACAGTTTACATGCACAGACAGAGATTAACATAGATTTTTACCTTTTAAAACATTTATTTTTAACAACTTTTGTTAAAGGATGAAATAATTGTGCAACATGCAGCACCACAAGATTTTTGCAGAACAAGAACTGTGTGCACACCTATAATTTTGCTCTGGATTTTCTGACACTCACACATTCAAAATTATACATTCAAATGCATCTGGTCTCCTATAATACCAAAGGTGGCCGCGTTAACAACTGGCACCAAATCACTTAATGTAACACCAATACTTTTAAAGAGAGACACACAAAAGACAAAGGACATTTTTCATTCCCCTCATCACCGGCTTCATGTTGAATTTGAGCTCATATACCAGATAATAAGATCAGAACGGCCTAAAGCAAGGACTAAAATTTTAAAAGGCATTGGGTGTAATTGCTCTGTCATTTTAGTGTGATGGTTTTAATTAATATTTAGCTTCCACTGAGTGCTCTTTGCTACTTTGGCAACACTTGTTTTTCACCTGGTAAAAAGGCAAAAGTCCCTACAAGGGACTTGTGAGTAGAGGTGTTGCAAGTTTTCTACCATCCACACTATTCTACTAACCATATGACACACTTGTTTTTACACAAGTGGTTATTCACACATCTAATAAGTATCTACCAACTCTCTCTCTTCATACTTGCAGACGTAGTACATGCCTATATGGCTTCTATTTGCTAGTATTACAAAGATGTCTTTTCGGAGAACCCTTGGCTAGGATCTGGGAGAAGATCTTAATTTTCAGAGGAAAGAAAATCTGGTGAGAATGCTCAATAATAAGAAAGACTCAGGGCTGGCATGAATTGGATACAAAAGTATACACAGTAAAATGTATACCACATTGTAGTGCAGCATGAACTTGTCAATCATCTCAAACACCGGAGGTGGTAGCATCACGCTTGCGGAGGCCCTGGTGTATTAAATGCCCATCCAAAACGCCTCCTCAGCTTTGGAGGGTGGTTCAAGTGGAACCACAGTCCAAAGCCAGTTCCCAGCCAGAAAACCATGAAATTTAATTAAAACGGACTAGTTATCTATCCAGGGTGAACACTGCTGCCTACCCAGTAACTGCTGGCCACTGCAACACTACAAGCATACATAGTGGATATGTTTCTGGGTTAGGGTTAAATCCAGCCAGATTGTGTCTGGATTACAAGTTATCCAATATCAATTCAAACCTCCTCACCTAATAGATGGATTCAACATCAAGTTACCTCGATTTCCTAAAACCGGTCACGCTGCCCTAAAAGGAAAAGCACACTCTACAGTTTGAATGGGAGTCTACAAAAACGCCAAGGCTGTTTGGTTTAAGCTCTACAAAATGCAAATGGCAAACGACAGTGTTACACCGCTGCTGGACACCGGCTTGCAAAGTGTTATTAAAATGCTTTTTATCCATTTACCTCACACATTTTCATAATGTTGAAAATCAGCAAACAGAATCATATCATTGTCTGCCATCAAATCCAAAACTAAAAATGGGTTCGTTTACGTTCTCTGCTTTTATTGCACACAACCCAGAAGTTGCAGCAATCACCTAACACTTCCACTTCCCTCAAACTGGAGCCAGGAGCATGTGCAGAAATGAAGAACTAAGATCCATCTATAACTTAAAATCTAGATTGACTAACATTTTTACCATGGAACAAAATATTCAAAAATGCTTAAGAAGGAAGGACAATGTAAATTTGATATTCATGCCTTTTCCAAGTTTATACACACATGTGCGACAGCTACTGTATATGTGTGGTTGGGACCTGAAGAGGTTTCCACTCACCTATTATTTTCAGCGGGTTTAAAATCAAATTACACATTGGATAACTGTCTTAGTTCCCCATTTGTACCTCGATGCGATGCTAAATACACAGACAAAACAACTAGTTTATTGTAACTTATTCATGGCGTACCATTCCCTCATTTCTGATCAACTAAACAAATGAGAAGTAAAAAGAAAAAAATACGTTGACTGTCAATTTCACAACTAAACCTCAATGTTGCAATCAATGTTGGGCTGGATTACATGTAAAGCTAAGTACAAAGGTCAAACTAAATACATACATGGTAAAGCTTTATTTTTTTCTCCTTGTATAAACAATACAGCATCCATGGCAGAATTGACATCATTAGCCAAATTCTATACAGAAATGAGACAAAAGTTTATTTTTTTTATTTTTTCTTTAAATGCAACAAATATTTCTAGGGAAAAAAAAAAAAAAAGTTGAGAATAACAGAATAAAATACCTTCACTACTGCTGAAGAAGCAATGTCCGCTTAAAACACCAAATTGTGAAAATCATGTCATATAAAAAAAACTGATAAAAGAAATAGATGTTTTTAATATACACAAATGCTTTACTTGTACAGGGGCATCATTTAAGAACAGTTCCGGGATCAAAATAAGAGTAAAATTAAGCTTGAAGTATTGTGTTCAAATGTTCAAATCAAACATAAGTTGTTCTGTATAATGTTTTTTGTCATATGTATCAGGCAGCAAAGGGCTACATTTTTTTTCCCTAATTTAAACAGGTTACTATTAGCAGGGTTTCTACGCACAAAGATTTGGAAATACATTTAAGAAAGAAAGATGCAACAAGTAGAGAATAAACATATTTACACTTTTCAAAAGAAACCAAAAGAAATAACTACCAATTTGAGTTTACATGCTTCAACCTTACATCTGTTCCGTCAGGAACCAAAATATAAGTCAACGGCCAGAAAGATACATGTATTTACAGGTCAAAATGATTTTTTTTTTTTTCTTTTAATGTCTTCTTTCTCTAACAACAATTTATAGGTCATTTAGAGTCAGAATCATCTGCCTTGGATCCTCGATTCTGCTTCAACTCCAAGAACTTGGACATGTGCTCCAGTCGTAGGGAGCCTCGGTGGATCCAGTCCGTCTCCCCATTTTCCTGTGTAAGATATAAAATGTTTACATGCAAACATTTTTAATAAATTAGAATAGGGGTTCCAACGAGGCACTTTTGTCAGATTAAAGTAGTCTTTGAAAATAAGCCCAGATTTAGGTATTAAAACATTTAAATACTAGTTTGAGGTAGTATTCTATCCTTTAGTGTCTGTCGTGTTTACATCAGCTGTAAGCGGAAAAATAGGGTTGAAAAAAAAAACAAAACCTCCAGTCTGTATTTAATAAATTTTTTATCGTATTGTTCACCATGACAATACTGAAGCGACTGGAGAGCTGGGTCAGATTCTCCAACAAGACTTTAATGACCTAAAGAACTGGGACTTCTCTGTGTCAATGGGTAACTTTATAAGGAAGTTGACAAAATCCCTATATAAGGTTCCCCCAAGGCTCCATCTTGGGGCGCCTCTTATTTAATATATACATGCTCCCACTAGCTCAGCCAAGCAATAGGACAAGTTGGATTTCATTGAACTAAATAAAAGTGAAGGGAAAAAGGACTGCCTGATAATAATTGATGCATTCTCTAAATGGATTGAACTGTTTCCAACAGCACATCCAGATGCAATCACTGTAGCCAAGGCTTTGTGGAAAACAGGGAGGCCTTGGACTCAGTCCTTGGATCTGATAAAGCTGTACATTAACATCATGAGTACAACAGGGTTAACAGCTTATGAATGGATGTTTGGAAGACCATACAGATGGCTCCTCATGGCAGAACAAGCAGCTGATGCCACCAAAACAGATTGTGTTGTGTGCACGCTCATTCTCGCCGTCTCCCTAAACTCTACATCTGCATCTGACCTGTTGTTAAATCTTAACAGCCTCATGACAGAAGATTGGGCTTATTCTATTAGACAAAATAGATCTAAAATAACCCTGCCTGGAAATGATATAGATGCAACTGGGGTGCCAAGAGGTGTTCCAGATCAAATTAAAGCAGGGTTTGAGTCTTCTATATGCTGGTGGTGTACTACAGAAATCAACTGCATCCACTACAATGTTCAACGTCTGGGAAATTACACAGTGGCAGGTTTTGAGGCAGCACATGACCAACTGGAGGCAACGCCCCTGATGGCATTCCAAAATAGGATTACCCTTGGCATGCTCTTGGCAGAGCGAGGAGGTGTGTGCGCGGTGTTCGGAGAGCTTAGCTGCACCTTCATTAAACACAACCACCGCCGATGGAAGCTTGACCGAGAGGGGTTGAAGACCCTATCCACAAAAATGAAAGAGCAGTCTAGTGTCGACACCTCCATGTGGGACAACTGGATGGACATGCTTGGCAAGTATAAGTCTCTGGTAGCCTCTGTGTTCATTTCCATAGCTGCGTTTGCGGCAGTATTAACCTTGTGGGGATGTTGTTGCATTCCCTGCATTTGAGCGTTGTTAAACCGCCTTGCAATCAAAACTGGCTGAAACTTGTCCTATATTAAGCACCAATGAGCTACAGGATGAACACGATGAGGAGCAGCCTGATTCAGACACAGAAAGTGATACGATGTTGACCGTCTTCTGATTAAAATGATGGCAGCATTTATCTCTGAGTGTAATTATGTTTGCTTACATAAAAATGACCTTGCAGTTGAAAATCTTTTTAAGGAGTAACTGCTGTTAAGTGATGCGAGAATTTGTACAAACATATGATAAACAGGAGGGAAATGTTGTAATAAATATAAGTTATCAAATGTTTGTTTTATGCCTTTACCCTTACTTACTATAACAGGTAATGGAAATGTCCATTATGAGTAGTGTTTTTCTTGTGGTGGGCAAAACATATTTGTCTGGTGTGCTGTGGTGGCTCAGGGGGTCAGCACAATCCACATATGGAAGCCTCAGTCCTCGACGCGGCCTTCGCAGGTTCGATTCCCGGCCTGGCGACCTTTGCTGCATGTTTCCTGTCAATTAACTATCAAATAAAGGCCACTAGAGCCAATAAAACCTTAAAAAAATAAAATAAAATTGTCTGCAGGCTGTTCGTGAGGAGACAACCGTAACCTTCCCAGAAGATGAACAGAATGTAGCCGTTGCAACAGTAGACAGGAATTCCTGGCTTTGGAGATAAAGTGTGCTCTGTTAAGAGATGCTGTGTAGTCACTCAGGCACGCAGCTGTTTCTCCCCCTCCCTTTAGAGCTGCGTGCCTCCTGTAACTAGGGCGTCCCCTAAGACTGAATAAAAGTGCAGGAGACACAGATGGAACTTCAGAACATAGGGGAAAACTGTAACTGGGTTTCTCTGTGTTCTCCTCGTGAGATAAGAATGAACCACGTCTCCTCTTTTTTTCCGTCTGTGTGTTACAGATGTTTTAGACTTCTGCCCCTGACACTTGTCCCTATTGAGATGACTCCGAAAATTGATGAACAGAATGATGAAATTCTGAGTTACTTTAAAATGAATGCTAAGATACAATTTTTTTTTATTAAAAATACTTCAATCATTAGTGCATGTCTGTCTTTAATCTTTTCATCATCTTCCTTTATTTTGCCGCAGTAAAGTCCTGTTTCTTGCTCGTTTGTTTGTTGTTGTTTATTTTATTTTAAAGCATTTTGATGCTGAAATAATATATTGAAATGTATGATTTGACTGAATTACAAGGGTAATGTACCTTATATATAGACTACTCAGTCACACAGATAAACAAAAAGTCTTTTACTTTAAGCCTCATCCAATAACTTTAAATTCTGTATTAGAGCTCAGCCTTGACACATACAGGAAACAATTTATTCAAGAAGAACCTTTGGACAGGGCAATACTGAAATAGAAGTGCAATCTTGTTCATGGAAGCGATGCTCCCGACTGAAAATAGACTAACTTTAACTGGTGACATTTGCAAACAACAAAAGAGAAAAGTATGGTTGGGATTGTCACTTTTGCTTAATAAAGTTTAATAGAATATTTGTATAACATCATCAGTCAAATGATGACCATAAAGACAAAATGTTAAAACAGAATCTGTGTTTGTGGATTTCATTTCATAGGGAAATGTGATATTTTTAGCATCAATAAAACAAATACTACCAACTTTTCAGTCTACCAATGTTAATTTCCTAGACCTATAGTTTTTACTGAACATTGGCATCTCCCACATCTGGATAATTTCCTTGAAATAGCACAAAAAAAAACAAAAAAAAAAAACATTCAACCCTGTTCTATTTTTGGATTAAAACACATCACGTAAATGGATTAGGTTTTACAAAATAGAATAAAATCAGAAAAGAAAGATACTAACCTCAAAAACAACCTTCATCAAGCTGCAATCAACCAACTCAACATGACACTTCTGATGGACTCCATTCAGTTCTATTTTAAGGATTTGTCCCTCTTTATAGTGGGTTAGGTGTGGATACGGCCAACTCCTCAAGTACTGTGCCATGAAGCACTTGTGTGGACTCTCTGGAAGGTCGCCTAAAGGATCATCCACTGTTAAAAAAAGAGAAATTATTCACAAAGTATTAAAGAAAAAAAAAATAAATTCTTTCCACAGTTTGTAGCACTTTTTGTTTCACAGTGCCCTCTTCTGGACCAAACAGCAAAAAGTACCGCATAAAATACAGAAATGTTAAGTAAAAAATTGTTTAAAAGAACTGCACTAAATTGATAACAAACATACTATCTTAATGTAGCATAAGTACTAATCCTGATAAAACATGAGCAATTACAGTTGAAACTAGATATTTACATACACCGAATAAAAACACACATTGGAAAAAACCTTTATTGTTTTAGCTTAGTTAGACCCAAGTTATTTCTATTTGCTAGATGCCAGAAAACTCGGCAAGAACATTTTTTTTTTTTTTCAGAATTTCCTTTGTGACTTTAAGGAAATTCAAAAGTTTACATGAAATGTATGATTTGGGTCACAAAAGAAATGTCTTTCCCAAGTTTTCTGGCATTTACAAAACAGAAATATATTTTGTAATTCTCACCAAGCTAAACCATGAAAAGTTTGGTCCAATTTAATTTCAGGCAGTGAGAAAGAAATGTGTGCTTCTTTTAATTTGGTGTGTGCAAATATCTGGCTTCAACTGTATGCAGCATGAAACCAAATAAGCACAAACAAGGGTTTGGTTTATTTGCAATGCTAGGACAAAAAAATAAAATAAAAATAAAAAAAAAGAACAGAGGTAAAGTCCTAACTAGGTGCAGGGTAAATATTATCTTTAAAACATAACATATGAAACAAACATTACAGTAATTTTACAGAAGATGCAAAATATAATTCAGAAATAAAAAAAGGAGGAAACAGTCAAACTTACTTTGTCTGCAAACGAGATAAAGTGATGGTAAGCTGACATAAACTGGTGTGTGATCGTCCAAAAACACCAGAAACCTGAAAAGCATAAAGTTATTCAAGAAGACTTTTTTTTTTCTAAATGGGGGTTCATAAATGTCTTAGCAGTCATTTGATCCAAGACCTTAAGCGATTCTTTCTGCTGGGGAGCTCAGACAAAAGTCCAGGCAGGAAGCACTGCTCATCTTCTGGAGACTGAATTAAAACTCGGGCTCCGACGTACAGTTGGTCCAGCTTTGGAGTGGTTTCCTTCGCGATGTGATGTCCCGATACCAAGCTCTTCCCCTTCTCGTCAAAAATCACTTTATATTTTACTCGTCCGTCGTCTGCAAAGACGAAAAGAAAACAAAACAAAACTACTGAATCTTGTCTACGTGATTTTATTGGAGCTCACGAAACTCGAGGAAAACTGAGAGAAGCACAAAAAGGACAAGCCATGTAGCATGGCATATATTAAAAATAAAAAAGGGTGCAAAGTTTTTTTGTTTTTTTTTTTAAGATGAAACGTGTTGATATTTCAGACATGTCAATGGTTTTTTAAATTTATTTACAAAAATACATTTAAAAGACAACTTAAAAACAACAAGTCAGTATTGTAAATGTAATTTGCTCTGGAAATGCTTCTACTAACCATTCCTGCATCAGGTAAGGAAGATACAGAAAGCAACAGAAAACGCTAAAAAAAAAAAAAACCCAGGCAAACAAAGTATTTATCTCAGCTTGCATCAGAGCAGTCACAGTGTAAAACATCAAAAAAAAAAAACAGTAAAAGCTTTTGTGGCAATATGTATGCAAAATGAGTGAAAGAAGAAAAGGCTGACCTAGCAAAAATAAAGCTAGCAAACTTTAGCAAGATAACTACGATGACTCTCACTTTCGGAGTGAAAGTTACTCCAGACGACACAAGAGTGACTGTAATGTTTTTTTTTTTTTAATGGATTTTAAAGTTACAGCTACCATGAATAGATTGCAATGAGCCAATAATGTCACATAATCCAAAAATGTGTCTCAAGGTGCATTCAAATATATAAAAATGATGGCTTTTTATATATGCGTTAAAATTATCACTGTCATGACAGTATAATCTGTGAAAAATTAAAAAAAAAATAGCTCCTCTGCCTTCTCCCTGTGCACCTGCCATCATCTGCTTAAATACATTGCTCTGTCAGAAACTCTGACTGAGAGTCAGTATACTCCAGCTGACCATTAATAAGTTACTACATTACTGGATTATTTCATTAATCAATCCATCAGAGTTAATCTGATTAACTGTTTCAACCCTGAAGTGTTTGTTTCTGCAGCTCGAGTCTGACGCCCAAATTTGATTTACCAACTGACTCGAAGTGCCTTCAAACTCCATGGAAACGTGTGACACTGACCAATGTTACATATTCCCATGAAGCACAAGGCATTAACGTATTACTCTGAGCTCTGATTAATGAGATCTCAATAAGTTTGAAGAGGATGACTCACTTTTCATGCTGGGGTCTTTTCTGAGGTAAAGGTTTTACCCTGATTGATACAGAAGAGGACAAGAATGGTCACAGAAAACTACCTCAGTTCCTGGAAAAGGATTACTAGAGTCAACTAGAACACCTGTCTTTTCATTCAACTAATGATTTTATTTCAGCTTATTAAAAAATACACACACACACACACACACACACACACACACGCATTAAAGTGTTCTTTCTTACCCTTATTGATTATCTCCACTATTTTGCCTCGTTGCCACCTCGTGACTCTCCTCCTGGCCAGGACTACCATGTCCAACTTAATTTCTGGCTCTGGCAAATCAGGCCGCACGTTTCTCGTTTCGTTTGAGTGGCTGGCAAAAGCTGCAGACACTATGATCGGGGATATTTCAGCAGCTGGGGAGGGGGGGGGAAACACACAATTGCAATACGGAGTTGGGAGATTGAACTCCGTAGGCATTCTAGCAACTCCAGTGTTATTACTGGTTTATATTTGTGGATGGAAACGTCCTTACCTTTGTTGGTGGTGTTGCCGTCGTTATTGCAGACGCTGCTGTTGCTGAGGCTGTTGATGCTCCCTAACGGTGTAGGCACTGTCACTTCATTCGCCTTTTTGTGTTTAGAATTGTTGTGTTTATGCTGGGTTTTCTTTTTAGCTCCAAAATCCGAGTCTCCCGAATCGTCCCCGGGTTCCCACAGCATGTCGGAGTCGGAGCTGCCGTGGGACTCGGCTTCGCTGTCGAACTGCTGGGGTGTCGGTGGTTGAAGCGCATTGAGCGTAAACTCCGGGAGTCGAGTCAAAACAACCACTGGTTTCTTTTGTAGGTTCTCGTCGTTCAGGTCGTCCATTTGTACGTTTTGCATTTGTAACGTGATGGTCAAAACTCACAAATGCTAACGTTCACAGGCTTGTTACTCCGTTCAAAATTCCCAGCTTACCTTTTTCCGCGTTCTGAATATGATCATCAAACGAAGGAAAACTAACAAACGAAGATAAGGTGACTTCAAGTCGTCCAAACAATCAAATAGACAACAGTTCAGAAAATTGCTTAGATACTTGTATTGTTACCCACACGCTAGCAAGCGGCAAACCTTCGCCTTCTTCTGTTTGATGGCGCACTAGTTGGTAAACAAAGGATAGCTGCATAACTGCCTCCTAGTGGTGCGGAGCAGGTTTCATTCCGATAATCGTTCTTCTTCTTCTTCTTCGGGTTTTAACGGCAGCTTGCATCCATTATTGTTGCACTACTGCCATCTATTGGATCCTAATATCTATACCTCAAATTCTCATAAAGATCCCAGTATTTTTTTAAAAAACGAAAAATCTTCTTTTCCCCCATAATACTATTTAACTGATCAACCAGATTCTCAAATTTCAATTCCCTATTAACACCTAATTCCGTTTTTAATAATCTTCTTTGAATTGCGTATTTTATACAACTAATAAAAACATGTTCCATCGTTTCTACAGTATCACACCAACTACATAAACCAGTAAGATGTTTCCCCATCTTAAAAAGAGTTTCACTTAAAAAACTGTGCCCGGTTCTTATTCTATTTATAATTATCTCCTCCCTCCTGTTTATTCCTCTGAACCTTACTACATCAATTGTATATTTTGTATCTTGTATAAATGTCTTCCATTTATTTCATTATCCTACCTAATTTTCCATATCTTCTTGCTTTCTCTCTACACTATACTTTTGCCTTCAGATTTGGATAACTTTACTGACATATCAATATCTTCTTTTTTAATAGCCTCCTTAGCCAACCTATCTTATCTGCTCTTTCATTCCCCAAAATACCTACATGAGCAGGAGTCCAGAATAATATGAAATTTTTATTTTGTTCACATATCCTATGATGAACAGCCATAATCTCGTATAATATATTTTGATGATTATTTGTACGTCCATTTTCAATACTCAACAATGCAGATAATGAATTACTACAAACTATTACTTTATTGGAGCCTGCCCGTAGCAATGCATAGGGAGAGTAGTGACTGACTGCAGCTCTGTAGATCTTGGCTGCACGTTAGTGCGGCCAAGTATGTAGGACAAGAACATAAAAGTTGCAGGACACTGGCCCTTGAGACCATTGAAATGAATATCGTGACCCATCAAGCACAGTAGATGGCAATGATGCATCCTAACGTTGGGTGCCACCGCCCAAAAAAGACTGAAGAAGAAGATAGACAACGCGTAAGAATAATAATAATAATAAGAAAAAAAAAAAAAAAAAAAAAAAAAAAAAAAAAACAAATACACACACACACGCCCCTTCCCTCCCCCCGACACACACACATACATATAATCTTCCAAAGTATTGATACGAATACGTATTTATGCCTATGTTCCAAAGACCCACAGAAATTACAAAGATGGCTTGAACATGTTCCGAATATAAACTGTGTTTCGGAAAATATGACTTTTCATTACATCGAAACTAAATAACTAAATAAGTAGCAAAAATTAAATAAGTAGCAAAAAAATAAATAAAACTGTAATTTGAAGTTAGAAAAGAATGTCTAATCGGCCAGTAATTTATTAACTCTTAAAGGCAAAACATATAATTTTATTTTGGAATGCTAAAAACATGTAAACAGCTTTAACTCGTTCCAAAGAATTGAAAACTGAACTTTAGCTTCAAGCGTCTACGTTTATAGAGAAAATGGTTAACCGAAGTTAAAACTCAAACCAAAATGCCGTCTGTGATGTAAACCCATTTTTACTCAGGCAAACGTTTGGGCGCCCTTGGCCCTAAACTGGAAACCGAAAGGTCAGCATTTCGTTGCAGAACAGTCTCCTTCAGCTCGCCCTCCAACCGGTGACGCCTGCTTCTGCCGTGTGTTGTGAGGAACACTTCCAAAAAGTCACTTTAGTGTAACACTAACACAGTCTTCAACTGGTAAGGCTCCTTATTATTTAGTTTTGTATCGTAGGTCTTCTCTAAGACACAAGCTAGAGAGTAGCTTTACTCGCTGCGGAACTCTGCAGGCTAACATAACTAGCTTCAGTAGCTGTAGCAGCGAGCTAATTCTGACACATGTGCTCTTACTGGAAGGTTTTAGTTGTAGTCTAAAAAAAATAAACACATTGTTTTTAATTATTTAAATAAAACAGCCACAAATCTTTTTTTTTTTAGATATTGCTTTATATCTATTTGGCCTGTTAGCATTGCGGAAACTAGCCGACACCCACAGTCAAAGTGAATAAGCTATTTTAGCTTATCACAGTATCTAGCACCGGTCAAAGCCTTCTCCAGTCCAACTGTATTTAGCGACTGATTTACAGTAAAAGCATTAAGAGTCACGACTAAATAGTTTACCCATTGTAGTCAAAATGGCTCCTGTTCTTCCCGGTAACCTTGGCAGTTAACTACCTGACCCACAAGATGTAATTTGTGCCAAAGGTGCTCATCAAAAAAAGTGAAACAGTTACGGTGTTGGCAAGGGAGGTGGGTTTGTTTTTACTCAACGAATATAAAAACTGTATAACTTGGAGCTATATAAGAAAGTTATAGACTTTTGATTCTAACCCCGACAGTTCAGCAACACAGGTGCTCCCTCTTATCGTTAATAAATGATAAGGATAAGGATAAATGCAGAACAACCCGATTCCACAACAGTTTCATCCCTCATGCCACACAACTACTAAGCTCCCATTAATATTTTTATTGTATGTACATCTATTGATATTGTTTTTATTAATATTTATTTATTATTTTAGTTTGCTCATCTACACTTTAAATGCACACTTAAGCGATACGTCTGTCTATGCCTAATACGTTGGTCATAACAGGGATATAAGACCAAGTTTTATCTTAATAACTTGTGTAAGTGCAGAAAAAAATAAAACTTTGTTCTTGTCCTTCTGGCACCCAGGCATAAGTATCTTGAATAAAAATGTGTGTTTGAAATGTTTCCACAAAATACTTTAATAAATTATTTCAACAGTCGCTTATAGCTTTCATAAGTGTTGCATAATACAACTTAAAAGAATACATGCATATAAAAGGCTACATTTACGCTGCAGCCTGAAGTGGCCCAAATCTGATTTTCTTGCCCCTTTGTGAGATGTAACTGATCTTTTCATGATAGTCTGAACAAAACTGATTGGATTTTTACAAATGCAACCCAGGACACTTGTGGTCCTAAATGCAATGTCTAATGCGTGTCTGATCTTTTCAAATGTGACCTGTGTCTGTACGGCCAGGTCGCATTCATCCAACCTATACTAATCTGCGTCCTGATACGCAGAAGTGGGAAGAAAAAACAACTTTGACAGGAGATAATGAGGATTATTAAAGTGCTGGCTCCATTTGAACAACACATTTAAAATGGCAAGATGGTCTCCATCATTCCCAACCATGTTTACTTCCACAAACAGTGAGCACGTTTGCTACACGTAATGTGCCTGCATCCTACACTGCACATGCAGGACACTTTTAGCTGGCTGGCAGGAGATCTATGCAGTTGTATATATTTGGAAATGTGAACGACCACGTGAAAAAGAAAGTCAGATTTCAAATGAAAAATTGAAACTGAACATTAAGGCCTGCAGAGCGAACGTATCCTAAAAGCTGCATGCTATTTTAAGTCAGTTAGCCTATTTCAGTGTGTCAGGTGTTGCATCTACAAAGCACATTACCTATAGGTGCATTATTTGGTAAGCTCTAGTTTATATGCCTTACACTTTGAAACACTGTAACATCCACCAGTAACATCATGGCAATTCAATGTTTTTTCTAATATTGCACACCTGTACCATGTATAAGATCACAAATAACATTGCCATTGGGTTTTCAAATAGAATCAAATACAACAGGGGTCTGCAGCTCCTGTCCTCAAGTGTTCTGCAACTTTTGGATGCCTTTCCATTCTTAACACACCTGAAGTAGATAAAAGGTTAATGATCAGGGATTTGCCAAGTGTGCTGACATGGCAACAAGGTTATTCAGCAGTGATGCATCCAAAAGTTGCAGTCCAATGGGACATCAAGCACTGGAGCTGTAAACCTCTACATTGAATGGATAAGCCTGTTTCTGTTACTTTTCTAAAAAAAAAAAAAAAAAAAGAAAATACACACTAAAACACAAGAACAAAAATTAGATTGAAACTAATATAAATATTTTTTTTTAAAAAAGAGGTGTTCTAACTTGAACATTTTGTACCGAAATTGCTGTGTGTAAAAATATAACAGTAATAGTTCAAGAACACAAAAACATGTAAAAACTAAAGACATACTGCAAGCTTCCTTCTCCAGTAAATTCAGCAACATAATGAGTTTATGCACAAGTGGAACTGTAATATTTTGTGAATCTAGTACGTTTGTTTTTCATATATACACACAATTGTTCCATTCATAGGGGTTTGTGTTTTCCATTCACATGAAGTATATTTATATTCTTTTGTCCTGTCACATATTTACTATGCAAATTGTAAACAGAAACTATACTTAAAAAAAAAAAAATATCATGGGTTAAACAGATGTAACTTTTTTCTCCCCCTTTTATATGCAGGTATAATGGCCGTGCCTCCCGCTTATGCTGATTTGGGCAAATCTGCCAAGGATATCTTCAACAAAGGCTATGGTACGTCTTTGTTCACTCATGAAGATGTTGAAGCTTCTTTCAAATGTAACTGATAACTTAACTTTGAAACACATATTTCATACAGGATTTGGCCTGGTGAAGCTTGATGTCAAGACAAAGTCAGCCAGCGGAGTTGTAAGATCATTTGGACTTTGGTTGAGAATAATCATGTTGGCAGTTATTAAATCCCTATGATGCTTTTAAAAGAAAAACACCTAAAAGTATTGTTTGTACTCAGCCTTGAACTTTTGAAATCTTTATTTTGTCCCAAGCTCAATTCTTTACAGTCTTCTGTTTTGTTCATCGGAACCTCCATTCAAGTCACTTTTAATTATAAAAACCCCAGCGTTTTTATACTTGTTGGCTTAGATTTAAAGTACCCACAAAAAATCAGTATAGCAACAAAAATACATATAAACTGTGCAATAACTAATTTTCTCAAAATTTACTACAATTGGTAATGTTAATTTCATGCCTGTTAAGTGATCCCAGTTTCTCTAAAAATGTCTCCTGCAGGAATTCAAAACATCTGGTTCGTCCAACACTGATACCAGCAAAGTTGTCGGTTCCCTGGAAACCAAATACAACCGGCCTGAATATGGCCTGACCTTCACTGAGAAGTGGAACACTGACAACACGTTGGGAACAGAAATCGCTGTTGAAGACCAGGTTTGCATAAATGTTTAACATTTTCGTACATTAAGAGCAGGAACTTGACAGAGCAGCATAACTTTTCTTATTTCCAGTGAATTCCATATTTTTCATCTTGCAGATTACAAAAGGACTGAAGTTGACATTTGACACAACCTTCTCACCCAACACTGGGTAAGATGATGGTTGGGGTTTTTGTTTTTGTGTGTATTTTAGTCCAGGACTCAACAGGAGGAGGTTGCTCAGCCTGTTGCTTCACTCCATAAGTAATTATGGAAACCTGATCTTTGCCTCAAATATTTCTAACAAGTGTCTTTGCCAGCTATGTGATCTGAGTCCCTGTGTAGAACGAGTATGTTGCAACACTTCACTGGGATTGTATGTTTGGGATAAAGACACATCTTAAATTGAATTCCCTTCTGAAACTCAGCCTATGTATTTATTGTCAAGATGTTGAGTTAATTTCGTAAAAATATGTTCCAAAAAAAGGGTACTAAAAAGACAAACATAATGTGGGAAATGGTACTTGACTTATGCATAGAGTGGATTTTTAATTTTTGTAAATATTTTTTTTCTTTAACAAAATCCTTCTTTTACCTACAGCAAGAAGAGTGGCAAAGTTAAGACCGCTTACAAGCGTGAGTACATCAACTTGGGCTGCGATGTTGACTTTGACTTCGCTGGCCCCACAATCCACGGAGCCGCTGTCATTGGTTACGAGGGATGGCTCGGCGGTTACCAGATGAGCTTTGACTCCGCCAAATCCAGAATGACCAAGAGCAACTTCGCCATCGGCTACAAGACGGCAGACTTCCAGCTACACACAAGCGTGTATGTAGAGTTGTTGTTTCTGTTGTTTTTTTTACTCCTTATGAGTTTTGGGTTTTCTTTGCCATTTGAAGGAGTTAAATACATTTTTATTTGGAAATGTTTATTTTCAATCATTACAGCAATGATGGAGCAGAATTTAGTGGTTCCATCTACCAGAAGTCCAGTGACAAGCTGGAGACTGCAATCAACCTGGCATGGACTGCTGGCAACAACAGCACAAACTTTGGCATTGCTGCCAAATACCAACTGGATAAAGATGCCTCCATCAGTGTAAGTTTTTTTTTTCTCCATACCATCTGTGATAGTTCTAAGGCAACAAAAGTCACCATGAAACTCTGGACCTAATACTGCTCACTGACATCTTTGTTTCCCCCCCTCTGTGTTTTTGGACTTTTCAGGCTAAAGTTAACAACAGTAGCCTTGTTGGTTTTGGCTACACCCAATCTCTTAGACCAGGTGAGTTTCTTACCGCAGTGTAATTTGCAGGAGCACTTAGTATATGTTTCAGAACATATACCAAGTGTATATGTTGAACTTTTTCACATTTTGCTGTGAAACCACCACAAGCTTCAGTTAATTTTGTTGCAGGGTATCCTTGTAATGGTCAAATCCAAAGTAGTTTGTAACTGAGAGATTGGAGGAATGTCTTGGCATTGTCAATCGTGCTCATGTATGCACTGCTTCCACCGCACAGTGCGTACCTTCATTCAAGCTAAAAAATCAGTGTGCCATCAGCTAATGGCAGCGAAAATAACATTACAGAAAAATGAACAATTTTCTTTGAGTTCTCGACAGACTGCTGTAGAGCAAAGGCCGTAGTGTAGCAGAGGGCAACGGGGAGAGAGCTGTGAAGTGTGCTTGTTCAAAAATTCAAGCCAAGTCCATGGGTTTCTCAGAACTCCACTGCAGCTTTAAAATAAAAGTGTAATTTTCCTTCCAATTTACAACATGATTTCTACACAGTCTGGAAAGATGTGGAATTTGGGTTGGTAACAGCTTGAAAACTGTAGTGTATAGATAACAGCTAAACCTTCTCCCTTGTGTTTGTAGGTGTGAAACTGACTCTCTCTGGTCTGATCGATGGGAAGAACATCAATGTAGGAGGCCATAAGCTGGGTCTGGGCTTGGAACTGGAAGCTTAAACTGTCTTCATGCAACAAGGGACAAGGGAATATCAGACTAATCGGGCCTTAAAAGTATGTCCAACTCAAACCAGCAAAGGGAAATCATAGAGAGATCGGTTCAAAGGCTTCTGCAACATCATCTTGGGCACCAAGTCATGTTGGTGCTTTTGTCTTCAGAATATTTTATTTTTGTTGATGCTTTTTACTTTGTGATTGCATCAAACCAAAAGTCTGTCATTGTCATATTATTTATGCATTTTGTCATTGTTCCTGTTCAACACTGCCACGGTAATTGTAATAATCCAATCCCTCCGTACAACTGTGTGTGGCTTCAGTGTAATAATCCCAGACACTCCAGTCTTTTCCTTTTTATGTAAAAACATAAGTCCAAACATTCGTTACTTTAGGATTGACATATTTTACCTCCACTATCTACTGTCATGACTTTTGATATTCTTTGCCATCTTAGCAGTTATCAAATCCAGAGCTAAAATTAATGTCAATTTGTGCTTAAATCCTAATAATGCACACACATGGATGTCTTGTTTGTCGACGTTTGAGGCTGGGATATTTTGGCAAAGCTACACATGTGACCTTACCCTAAACTGATCAGGTTTGGGGTTACTTATAGTGGGAGAGAAACCTGCATGTTGGCTCGCCCAAACAGAGTTATATTTTGTTAATTATGCAGCAACAGATTAACTGTGGAGCACATAATGTTTAAGTGATGCCAAACTATAAAATTATTTGGAGGAATAGAGTAAAGTTGCATATGTGCACCATGTAAAGCTGTGTTTCTGTTCCGAGAGGAGACCAATCCTATAAAGAAGTCTTTGAGGTCCCTTTGTGTATGTATGGATTTTCAATAAAGTCTTTAAAGTCATAACTGCCTACCAGAATGATAATTATAATGCATTTATAAAGTGTGCAAACCTCTTATTAGGGGTTTGTGAGGTATTTTAAAAAAATGCAGTGGTAAATTATTTCAAAGTTTTGCACAAAGTTAGTATAGCATCCTGCAAAATTTAAACAAATTGGCTTGCGGTAGGAGATAAGATTCTGTAAAAATTTCCCAGAGGAAAAATGTGTTAGTCTTCTAAAACGCGCTAAGTTCAAACCACGTTGGTTTGAACTTAGCGGTCAGGTTAGTTCAAGGTTTATATTTGTTTTCAGTGCATTTTTACAAAATACACATCTTGATTACAGGAGTCTGTTTAGTAATTCAGAAATGTGCTGATCTAAAAATGTTACCTCGTAGTTGTGAACATTTAGAAAAACAGTGTTTCCATGTATGCATGTGAATCTGTTGACTTGTCCGTTTCAGAAATGCAACATAAATTTAGAAAAATGTCCCAGAATAAATAAATGATTTAATATTGCTTTTATTTGCACACACCACAGCGAAATCAATGTCAAACAAATGACCAAAATGCATCTACATTCATAGTTACTTTAGTTTGTTTTGTTGTTTCAAGACATTTGAAATCCAGTTTGACTTTGAGGTCAATCATGCTGCAAAAAAAAAAAAGCCTATTCTGTTCTTTTAAAACAAGAATGCTGACAATACATTCTAGTACTTTGCATTGTTCTTTGCGCTTGATTGCTGGTGCCAAAATTATACATTTGCATTATGAGCTCTCCTCTATTTTTGGCTGCCATGTCTTTGAATGCAATGTTTTATTGTCCATTCTTAACTTCAGCAGAAGCTCTCTTTTTTTGTTTTCTTTTGAATCTTCTGATTTTAGACCGGAGTTTGGCTGCCATCTGCAGGCGCCTGCTGTAGCTCTTTTGTTTCTGCAGTCACAGCTGAAGTGATTTGGGTTTTGCCACCTCTCTCTGGCTGCTCACCCTCTGCTTTTGCTGTAGATTTGGAAGATGGGGATTTATCTTGGTCTTTATTGCTTTCACGTGTGGCATCCACGGTGCTTTTTGCGTTTTCTTCCTCAACTTTTCCAGAATCAGTCTTAGTAGTTTCTTTTTGTTCCGGTTGGCTCACGTCTTTCTCCTCGTTTTCTGGTGCAGTAGAAGGTATTTTCGCAATTTCTACACATTCCTCCATCTTTGTCGAGACAACTGCTTCTCCAGTCAGTTCTTTGGCTTTCTCCTGCACCTCTACACCACTGTGCTGCAGAGTTTTGTTATCTTCCTCAGATGTTGAAACCACGGTTTCATTAGCAGGCTTCACACTTTGTGCTGCGATAACGCTTTCTTCTTTAGTTGATCCCTGTTTATCCTCACCAGATTTAACTAGAGATCCCTCTGATTCATCTGAATCATTCTGTTTTGAAGAGATATTTATTTTATGAGGTACCTCTGCAGTTTCTTTCTCCTTCATGTCCTCAACTGGTTTATTATCTACCTCTGTGTCCATGTTTTCACCGCTGAGAGTCGGTGTCTTCTCTGATTCTTCACTCTGGTTTTGTTCTTTATTATCCTCCTCATCGTCAGCTACCTTTCTATCATCTTCACACTCCAACTTTTCATCGGAGGCTACTTGACTCTGCTGACCGTCAGACATCTGGTTTCCTTCGTCCTCTCGACTGTCCTGATGATCACCCTCTTCCTCGCTGCCCCCTTTCTCACTTTTTCCACACTCCTGCTCGTCCTTCCCCACATCCGTCTCCTCTGATCCCGTCTCCTCAAACTCTGACATCTCAATCTCCCTGGTGGTCTCTGTTATGATCTCCTCCACAAACTTGTACTTGGGCTCTGCTCGCCTCTGCGTGACTCCTGGTCGACTGAAGCTGGGGAGGGTGTAAACGGGTGATTGATGGTAGATGTGGGGCAAGGGGACCTGAGGGTCGGAGACGGAGATGGAGGACAGACGAGCCTCCTCGCCACAGAGGAGTTTCCTGCAGGATGGAGAAGAGAGTTTACATTTAATACAGATGCACTAATAGTTCTTTGCCTTCTGAGCCACTGATTAATAGAATCAGTTTACATGGTGTATGTGTTATTGTATTTGGTATGTAACAGTTTTGCACAAATTCTTTAGCTTACCTTTAAAAAGTAATACAGTTGCACGTTTAGATTGAAATATGGACATAGAAAGCATAAAATATACGAAATAATACAAGGTTCCACTAATTTATGTTATCAATAAGTTTTACTAATTATTCTCATGCTGATTTTACTATACCTGTATGACAATATCTCCACATCCAAAGCCATCTTCACGTTCAGGAGGTCCTGGTACTCCCTCAGGTAGCCGGACATGTCGAATTTGCAGTTTATGAGCTCATTCTCAAGCTCTTTGATTGTGTTCTGAGTTAAGAGACAAGATGACCTCGTTAAGCCGTGTCTCGCCCTGTGTTAACGCCACAGGAAGCGGGAAGAAGCATGCCATACCTGATAGTGAATAAGTTCCTCCTTGTGGCGATCCTCGACATCGTGAAGCTGCGCCTCCAGAGCCTCTCTGGTGCCTTTGGCGCAGTCCAGCTCGATGCTCTTGGCCTGCAGACGCTTCTTGTACTCCTGAATCTCCCGCTGGCTCGCTTTCAGCGCTTCCCTCTTGGCCTCGGCGGCCTCCGTCAGTCTGGCAAACTGAACTCGGAAACTTTCCCCGGCCAGCTGGACGTCGGACCCGGTGTGACCTTCCAGCTGCGTCCTGATGTCCCGGAGTGCCGCAGTGACGCCGGGATGGCCAAATTCGTGCGCTTTAAATTTAAGCTGAGCATCTTGAATCTGGTCACACATCTCTGACACCTCGGCCTCGTGGCTTCTCTTCAGAAAGTTGATTTCATCCACGAGGGACTCCACTTTCCGGTCCAGCACTAGTTTGGCCTGGTACGCTTCGGCCATGTCTTTCTTCAGGATCACTATGCTGCTCTCAGCCTCTGATCTGCTCTCCGTCTCCCGCTCATGCCGTTTCCTCAAGGTGGAGAGCTCTTCCTCTAGGTTATGATGTTCGATCTCAATCTGGTTCTTCTGGTGGGTGATGTCCTGCAGCAGCTGCCTCAGCCTCCCCAGCTCTGGACCATACTCCTCCTCCAAACAAGACGCGGGCTTCACTTTCCCTCTGATGTCTTCGATTTCCCTCTCCAGGAGATGGTTGTGGTTTTCGAGCCGGTGCACCTTTTCTATGAAACCTGCGAGTCGGTCGTTCAAGCCGTGCATCAGCTGTTTCTCGTTGCGCTTTTCAGATCTGGCGTGTGGCGAGCTCACGTCCGCGGAAGCCCTCCTGGTTTCTAATTCCGATCGTCTCGGCGGCTTAAGTTGTGAATACGTATCGTGAAGGGCTCTACGCGGGAAGCCGAACCTGTCATCCATCCTGTGGGTTGTCATTGCGGATCTCTGGTGCAGAGAGTCAGGCGTCCCTGCGGGCTTTTATAGCCGCGCCGCCAGCTGCCCAGTTTGCAGAGCGAAGCTGTCCGTGGTGCTGAAAAGGTGTCGCGTCAGCTGGCGCTTTAATGAACTCTTACTCCACGTTTTTTGTCCGCAGAAAGCGATGACGTCGGCAAGCCCCCGGCGTCGACGTCAATACAAAAACAATTAACTTGACATCCGATGTCTTTTACAAAAGTAACAGAGGATGTTTGGTCGTGGTGTTTCTCACTCAGTTGTATCTATATTTATAATCAAGACTTGATATTCACACACATTATGAAAATACGCGCCTTCCCCACCCCCCCTCGCTAAGATTACCACAACGAGTGTTTCTGTTTGCTAAATCTCAGAATTATGAATGAGATATTTATTCCAATTTCTGTATTTTTGTTTATTTATTTATTTATTTATTTATTACTTTTACTCTGAGAAATGTTCCGATATCTCATGAAATTGGTAGAACTCCTCTTTAATCGGGTCAAATGTTTGGGTCTCCTTCAAATGGTTTGCTATAGTTTTGGCACATTTATCACAGAATTGTTGTGTTGTTGAATCACTTTGCGCTATGGAGTATTAATGAAGTGGACTCACTTAGCAGCCGCAGGTTCTGGGCACCTTGTAGTGATTGAGTTGAACTTGGTCACCTTTAATTCTTGTTGGAATTGACTTTTTTATTTTATTTTTTTGCTTTGTGTTGTTTGTACAAATAGATTAAAAGGTTATTCAATTAAAACAATGTTTTAACAATCAGTTATCATTGGGGAATAATCCTGCTGGTCTGTTTTGTCTTGTTTTAATGTTTATCTCAATCTAAGGTAGTCCTTGTCCTAAAAAGACATTGAACATGTTCTATCTTGCGTATTTAAAGATAGAATTCAACTGTATTTTCCTCTAATGGTGTCTCTGTTTAGTGCAAATCAGTACAGTAAAACTAGTACTCTCAACCATTTGTTAGTATTTTACATTTCAGATTTGAAGTGATCAAA